TGGCCGCGGGGAAGGCGGGCGGCCGCGGTTCGCCCTGCAGGGCAGCGCTTTCCCCAGCGCCCGGCGCTCAGCGCGGGTTCGCTCCCTTCGTTTTCCCGGGGGTGGGGGGGTGGGTAGGAGGGAACGCTTTTATTCCGTGCCCGTCCCAGAGAGGATGGCGCGGAGGGTGAGGGGGAAACTTGGCGACTGAGAGGAGGGAAGGGGACGGGAGGGGAGCGGCGCCTTCTCCAGCGTGGGCCGGAGTGGAACCGCCGCGGGGACAGGCCGGCACTGCCGGGCACCGGTGGGTTTTGAGGCCCGCAGCCCCCACAGCCTGCCTGGGCGGCGCTGCCATGGGCCGGGGAGAGCGGAGGGGTAGTGGGGGCCGCGCCGTCGTGGCCTCCATCCAGGGCAGTGCTGGCAACTGCCACCCCTTGCCCCTGGCCTGGCCTGGCTTGCCTTGGGACCCATCCCCAGCCCTGGCCTGGCTTGCGTTAGGACCCATAGCCGCCCGGCCTCCAGCAGTCCCCCGGGTGATGCCCCACAACCAGACCAGACCCACTGACGCAGCTTCTCAGGTTTGTGGGTTTCATAAACCCCTCGTGAAATTCCCACACCTGCCCTTTCCTTTGCCCACCTCCATGTTGAACCATTCCTCTCTGGAAATACTGCAAAATCTGGGGGGGAAGCTGGTACTACCAGCCTAGGAAGTGGATAGAGGTGGCACATCGCTCTTCCGCCTTCCAGCTTCGGTCCCTTCCAGCACCTTTTGACATCTGTTTTGAAATTCGTGTGCCTGTTCTTAAGATGCTTCGTACGTATTGACAGTATGAGCTAAGCAAGATCCATCCGTCGTACGGCATAAGATTAGGAGGATATGTAAAAATGAGAATAAAATAATCAGGAAGATAATGCAGTCAATCAATTTTTTAAAGCATATTTTTTTTTCATTACTTAAAAATAGGATTTCCACATATTTCTGTATCTCGTTCTTAAGTATAATGTATCAAAAACAGTCGCTAGAACTTGGAGTATTTTTTATAATTACATTTCTTTATTTCAGTAAATTGAGTTTTAGTCGAGATTGTGTAATCCTAGTTATTAATAAAAAATTGTATTTCATTCGAACCATCCTCTCTATTTTAAAGCCTATATGTATGTAGGTATATCTGTGAATTTATCTATCTGTCTTCTGGTCCCAGATTAATGCATTAATATTAAATCCAATAAAGATTTCTAAAGATTGAATTACAGGGACAGCTTACGTAAAAATGCAAATAAGTAATGAAAGGGAGGGGGATAAAAAAAACCCAACCATCTTCATGAAATTAATTCACAACATATCAGAGTTTTCTTCGAAAAGCCGTGGCCCAGAAGGGTGAAGTTGGGTGCATGGTACAGGAGATACTCGGTGCAACTGTTTTGTGCCTAGAGCACTGAGTTCAAGTATGCAGCAACCATCCTCTGGCATCATGTAGAGAAAGGGTATGAATGGGTCGATGAATTTGCAACCTTTAGGTGAACTGTATGAAACCCTCTCCCCCCCCCCAAATTGAGGGCAGAGCGGTTCTATTGAAAATGACATACCTCGGACAATGCTGCAGCATTCCCCGGTAGATGAAGTTTGACTCAACTTTCTTAACCAACCATTTTATATGCTCAGTGCAGAAGGCATGAACACAGTGTGTACCTCAAACGCAGAACTGTCATTTAATTTTGCATTTTTAATGAGAAAAGACACCCCAGGGACTGTAAATTTAATCTGTTATGTGCCACTCCCATTGACATCATTGGATTTGAAATCTCCACTGAATAAATATCTTCAGATTTTTAATGGATGAGCCATCTAGCCCTGAATCTGGCATCAGCAGATAGCCATTACATGCTTTTTTACCCGCGTGCTTTGTGACTAGGTGGAAGTCAAAAGAACCCCCATTATGGACGATTACATGATAATAAACCTATGAGGAAATTTCTCTCCAGCCCTTATCTCCGTAATGGTTGCCTTTTGTTTTGAAACATGAAACATCCTTCATAAATATTTTATCCTAATAAGAACTATCAGTAAATGACAGACACAATTATTGCCCATACAGATAATTATTATCCATAGATACTATCCATACGGTTACCTAATCCAGGGCAGATACTTCCTGATAAGCCTCCCCTGTAGCATTAATAGGCTCATATTCCTCTATCCAAGCAGTCTCCAGTGCACGGTTCATGGCAACCTGTTGGCCTGTGAGACATTTTAATGATGCTTACTGCCACAGGAAATTAAAAGTGAGACTGGCAGAGGGAGCAATATATGGTATTAAGCACCCTGCATCTTCAGTATTCTTCCTCAGAAGCCAGCAAAAATTGGGAAAGCACCACTGTTTTATCATCTCCATTATCATTCTTTGCACTGCTCTATCCCAGTGTTTTGTTTCTCCCTTCCCTGTGCCCAGAGACATTTATTGTCACTCTCCTCTGTCTCTTCTGCTTGAGATATGTTTTCTGCAATGTTTTGACCGATTCAGAGCAGTATCTGAACTCGGTACTCACATGACAGTAAAACAGCAGATCACGTATAGCAATATTGCAGGGTTTTCGTGGTTAGTCGGTGCCCCATCTTCAGCAATGAAATATCTTGCAAGTGCTTTTTGATTGTTATTGTGCATTAGGAAGATGTTTTCACAGTGCTGTACACAAGTACATCTCAGTCTTGTTGGTGGGTACTTACAGTTAATTTAGAGGCCATCAGTATGTCTGAGTAGAGCAAATTAACCTTCCAGTATGCCACCCTAATCAGGTTTGTGTTGTGTTTGTGTTTTTGTTTTTTTGTTGGTTTTTTTTTCAGATCAACAAGCAAATTGTATCTGCTGGTTCTCCACTGTTAAATGAATAACATCCAGTATTTGCAATTTCCTTCAACTGATAAAATCAGTTTGTTCCAGTATGTGTTGTTTTGACAAATCACCTTCTGAAAGTTTCCCAGTGTTGTTTATTTCAAAGTAAAAGCCATCTGCCAACAGACATCTAAGACAGTTAGTCCTAAGGTACGGACTAATGACTAGGAAAGGGTTAAAAGACTTATTTGTTCATTTGATTTATGTGATTTTTTTAAAAAAATGCATTTCCTTTTAACTATTTGCATATCGAGGTTCTAATTGATGACTTATTTCTGAAAAAGTGTGAGAATTTCTCAGTATTCTTTTGTTCCTCAGACGCTCTCTTGTTCTTGCTAATTTTTTGTATCGAGTTCATGTTTCTGTGTAGAAGCATGGTATGTGCAGCATGGCTGCTGCACACAGCAGGCACGCTATAGCGCAACATGGCATGCGATCAAAAGCCTCGGCATTGTTTCGTGATTTCCTTTGCGCTCTGGAGTGCTAGAGACTCCTTTTTCTTTAGGAGTCACCATTAGTAGCACTGGGTTTCAGATGTTTGCCAAAGCTTAGAAAATTCCAGTAGGAACTCTTCACTAGAGCCCCTGCCGCAGCCTCAGCGGGTGGCCGTGTGATGTCCTGTCCCACCCTGGCAGCGCCAGGCAGGAAGAAAAAGGAAGTAGAAGAGAAGCTGTTTGGAAGGTGTTGCTGCACCCTATTATTATATTGGGTTTTTTTCCTGAGTTAGTTTGCTCTTAGTTTAAGGAATTACATTGGCTTCCTGAAGGTTCAGATGACCCCTCAAGCCTGCTCAAGGGAAATGGCCAGTAGGCACAGGGTGGTTCAGACCACCCTTTTCATGGCCATAAGGCTCTGGATCACCTACATCAGCCAGCTGTTCCTATGTGGTCTGCATCGGTCTGGTGCAACAGGATCATGAATTCCAGCTCTGCAAAAAAAAACTTGACATAGCCATATGACAAAAATGACAACATTAGATTAATGGAATCGTAGAACCACAGGATGGATGGTTTGGGTTAGAAGGGACCTTAAAGATCATCTTGTTCCAACCCCCCTGCCCTGGGCAGGGACTCCTCCCACTACACCAGGTTGCTCCAAGCCCCATCCAGCCTGGCCTTGAACACTTCCAGGGATGGGGCCTCCACAGCTTCTCTGGGCAACTTGTTCCAGTGTCGCACCACCCTCACACTGAAGAATTTCTTCCTCTTACCTTATCTGAATCTCCCCTCTTCCAGTTAAAAACCATTACCCCTTGTGCTATTGCTACACTCCCTGATCAAGAGTCCCTCCCCATCTCTCCTTTAGGCCCCCTTGAGGTACTGGAAGGCTGCTGTAAGGTCTCTTCTCCAGGCTGAACAATCCCAGCTCCCTCAGCCTGTCCTCACAGGAGAGGTGCCCCAGCCCTCTGATCATCTTTCTGGCCCTCCTCTGGATTCGTATTGGTAGAGT